CGGGTGATCAAAAACTTTTTTCATTTCGGAAATGAAAGTATCAAATGATGAGCAAATGTGTGGCTGGCTCTCCCTAACGGCTGTAGCCCAATCTAGAGCACTCCCCCTCAACAGACTCATTACATATGCTACCCTAGCCCCATCTGTGTGATAAGTACTAGGCTGCTGCTCAAAGACTAACGAACACTGGAACAAAAAGGCTCTACAAATACCCAAATCTCCAGCGTATCGCTCCGGTGTAGGAATAACAGCCTCTCGTAGCTGATGGAGAGGTGCGGCAGGAGCGGGGGGAGGAGCTGTCGGCTGTGCAGCGGGCTGCGGGGGAGAAAACTGGGAGGTGAGCAGTTCCACTTGTGTGCCGATCCTTTGCACGTTAGTGGAGAGGTTCCGGAGAGTCTCCACAACCTCACGGAGAACCACGTTGTGATGCCCCACGAGAGCACCTTGATTGGCCAGGGCTTGGCTGAGTTCGTCCGCAGTCTTGGACTGGTGGCCTGTGTCCGCTGAGTCCATACTGGCCAGATCGTTCTGTTACGATATCCGATAGGACCCAAACGCAGGACACGGCAGAGTGTTGGAAAAAGGTTTATTGTGAGGTGGAGGAGCGTGGAGAGTAATCCTGTAGGAATGAAGACTGGTGAGTGTGGAGAGTAATCCGGTTGGAATGATGACTGGTGGCGGCAGGTGATGGTAACAAGGCGGCTGGATAGTGATCCTGGAGCATAAGAGAAACAGATGAGAAAAGTATTCCGTGTACAGAGAAATAGTTTTAAATCGGCTAAGAAGGCTGAGAGTTACCACTGGGGATTAAACAACGATCTGGCGCTGACATGTTGTGGAGCCTCCGCTGATATACCATTAGTAAATGGCTGAATGGGAATCAGGTGTGTAACGCTGATTGCACCAGGTGGAGATTTGCAGCAGGTGGAGATTGAGCCGGGAGCCAGGAGTGACAGCCACCACGCCCACACAGACAGGGAAAGGGAACACACACTCACAAGGGAGGTGGCTGAAGAGTAGAGCCACCACACCCGTTATCGTTTGCGGGGTCCTTTTCCGCGGTTCCGTTACGGCCTCGTGTGAGCGAACGGGCTATACGCGAGAGAAAAGTAGCGGATACAACCCGTTTCGTTCTCGTGTAAACAGCGCCTCAGTCTTTACACTCCCATGTTGCTCACAGGGTTGCACTTTTAAAGCTGCAGGTCCATTTCCACACAGGTGTGTTCACTTAATTTGACAGACTTCTGCTCAGAATGCAGGACATGCTTGATTAACAGGCTCCTTGATGTCCTGTTGCAGTTTCACGTGTTAAGGACAGAAAAATCACACCTTCATATACTCTTATTGATATGTGGAATTTGGTCACTGGCAAAAGTAGAGTTTGCCAAAATGCCTTAAACACCTGTGTTGTCGTAGGGTTAAGGTTAGGGGGGGTTTATAAAGGTTTATAAATACAATTTAGCACCATCATGATTACTTGTCACTGCCTCCCATGTCTTTTAAAACATCAGCAAAAAACATCCAATTACAAAGTATGTTATAATTGCTAATGGAAGCTTCTGCAGTTTAAATTAATCAACTCTCACTTTTGGGTTAATTCAGTTACTTTGGTGCCTATCACTGGTGTTTTATCCATTGAAACAGCTACCAGGGCTCATTAAGTATTTAGTCTTGTACACCACACAAAGATTACATGATTTCTCAAAAAAAGTTGAAAATATGAAATCCTGGCTCCATAACATAAACCTTTAGACCGTGAGACCGTTTATGTTCCGTTAATGTTCCATATAATTTATGATATTGTTGGAAGGAAAATATTTGAATAGTGTGGACATTATTTTTTTAACAAGCAGTCACTGCTACTTCTGCTCCTACATAATCCCTCATGTACCGTCCTCTCCCTTTTTTTCTGTAAAAAAGGCATTAAAAAGAGACTTTTTAAAGAGCCTCATAATGTAAGACACTAAAGGCAAGCCCCCAGAAAGTTCACCAGGTGTTGGAGCAAATGTTCATAGTTGCCATATGGTGGTACTAAAACTTCTGTGTCAGTCACGTGATGCCATTGGGCCCAGAAGGACTTTTTCTCTTTGACTTACAGTATACTGGAAGAGAAAAGTCTAGAAGTCCAAGTTTTTGGCTCATAGTTGAAGATAGAGTTATTTTCCTCCATTAATTTGACTGAGCCAAGATTTGACAAAATGTTGTGTTTGCGAGGTGGGGTTTAGGGAAACCACGAGTACAGAAGTTCGCCGGAAGATCCAGGGAGATCTGAGTGTTTTTGTTCTTGAGAGTCAGGCCATTTCTCTTCATACAGCCATGGTTAGTGTGTAGGGGTAAGGCAAGGCAAGTTTATTTATATAGCACCTTTCAACACAAGGCAATTCAAAGAGCTTTACAACAATGAAAGACATTATGAAAATGGCATTTAAAATCAGTCATTAAAAAGCAAAGATAATAAAATAAAGATTAAAAGAAAAAATACATGGATAAAAGTTACAGTGCAGTTAAAGATGTGAATAGTTCAATTAAAAGCAGCGGCAAAAAGAAAAGTCTTCAGCCTGGATTTAAAAGTAGTCAGAGTTGCAGCGGACCGGCAGATTTCTGGGAGTTTGTTCCAGATATTTGGAGCATAATAACTGAACGCTGCTTCTCCATGTTTAGTTCTGACTCTGGGGACAGAAAGCTGACCAGTCCCTGAAGACCTGAGAGATCTGGATGGTTCATAATGTAGCAGTAGGTCAGACATGTATTTTGACTCAATTATTTGACACACAGGAAGCCAGTGTAAAGACTTCAGAACAGGAGTGATGTGATCCACTTTCTTAGTGTCAGTGGGGACTCGAGCAGCAGCGTTCTGAATCAGCTGCAGCTTTCTAATAGATTTTTTAGTGAGACCAGTAAAGTGTGTAGGGCGTGGTTTGGGATTGGGCCAAAGACACCAGGTGAACAGACAGGAGGTTAAAACAGACCTAACAGGGGGTGAACACTTTTAAAAATAAAACAGGAAGCAGAAACAGATCGTGACAGAAGGCTAGAGGATGAAATAAATGTTTTCTTGGTCATGTGTAAGTAGTTTTGTGATCACAATAAATCAAACTTCCGCAACTCTTCTTTAATGATCCATTTTATTTCTTCCATTTAAAAAAAACATTTCATAATCACAGGAACAACATAACAAGATTTGAGCAACATTTCTCAAAACAAGTTTTGTTTTGAGACAAGAAATGATCAGAAAATAACTTGTGAAGTAATTAAAAATAATTGTTTATCTGATATTGCTCGATAAACTCTTCACAAATACAAGCAACCAACCCGGATATAACATCAACTACATAACGTTTGTGAATGTAGCTTCTGACTGTTTCTCATGAAATATGTTGTACTTGTGTGTTCACATCTGTGTGTGTGCGATTGTGTGTGCTCTCAGAGTTTGTGTTTGGGAACAAAAGGTCACCTCCCTTGACGTTACTCATGGAAATATGCGGCATGTTGAGGAAGAGTGGAGTGACTCAAAAGAGTTTCACATTGCCAACGTGCAGTTTCACTGTCAGAGAGAAACTAGTTTGTTTTCCTCTTTTTCTAACATGAACTAAAAGAGTTTGTTCTCCATGAGTGGTGACTCCCAGAGCCTTCAGACCTGGTGAGAAGCCAGCTGGTATGATCCCTGGATTGACATCAGGGGACAAAAGAAGTTTCCTTTGCTTCCGTCCTAAAAAAACTGACTTTTGAGCAGATATGACGTTTCACACAGCAGCAGAAGTATTCCCCATCCTCCCTGGAGAAGTTTGTTGTGTGGCAAGTTGTTGCTGGGTGTGTTGCATTAACAGAGAGTTGTGCAACAGTCAGTCAGAAAACAGCATGTTCATGTTCTGCCTTTTCTGTAATGCTACTGCTACTACAACTGCTATTTGTACTGCTTTCCTTACTGCTTAGGGATGGGTATTTTAAAGCTCAGTACTTCTTAGTAAGCATGAAAAAGTGTAAGATTCACCAAAGTTCTGAAAGATGTCTTCAAATATTTGCTCGGACTTGTCATGTTGACATTTTCTCTGGTTGGGATTCAGATTAAAATTGGGGCTGTCCTTAGTCGACAACCACTTTTAAATGTTTTGTCTTGATTAGGCAATTTATTTGACAGATCTGTAAATATATCAAGCAAAAATAACCTCATTATCTCTTGTGTTTACCAGAGATGTGATTCTTGGTAATAAGTCATTCCGCATTCAAAAAGCATAAAGAAATGAAATTTCGACTAAGATCAAAATGACTGGCTTAAGGGGAAGCCCTTATTCAAATGTTTTCATATTTGGTTAAAGTTATTTGAGAACTTTCCACACGCCAACCAGAGTTGAGCAGTAAAAAACTGAAATCTGATCACAGTTTATGTTTTTTATGTTGCCATGGAGATGCCGTCATCTGTCAAATCTGATTAAACCCCACCCACACAATCCTGATACAGCAGATTATTATTAAACTCCAAATCATTTTGTCATACTCACTTACTGTACATTTGACTGTTGCCTTAATTCCAGATATCATCGAACCAAAATTAAAAGTTCCATTTCCTAAAAATGTATTAATATACTAAACAGTTCTGTATTTTGAAGAGTATTTAGGTCAGTGCACACCACACCAATATTCAAGGAACAATTCATATTTATTTTGTTGTTTGGTTCAATCTGTTCACCTAAATAAATGTTTTCATTATAATGAATTCCAAATAACATACTGCTTTGGAGAAAACATACTAAGATATACATACTTTAGTATTTTAAGGCATTATTTAATTTCAAGAAGTGGTAACAAGGTGTCCTAACAAGAGACCAAAAAAGTATGCATCAAATGAGAATTAAATAGAGACAACCTAATTCCCCCCTATCCCCCCCCGGCTGTCTAAACCCTTTAGAAATATAAATGAGCAATCGCCAAAAGACACTTATAATAAAGCAAAACCTCGTATTTTTGATGTAAACTTCTCATGCGTTTCTGTCATTTTTCAGTCCGCGGGACAAGACAGACAGCAGTGGAGAGTATGTGAAGGTAAGCTTCCTCTTTACATGACTTCTAATCTATTTTCATCTAACAATCTTATCTTGTTTATATGTGGCTTCCTGTTGCAGTGATGCTTATTATCATTTCCTCACACTTTCTGTTCCCAGTGGTAGCACGATTCTCCGTTAATGTTAAAGAGGCCCTATTCTGCTTTTTGGGTTTCTTTTTCCTGTAGTGTGTTATGTAGGTTTTTGTGCAAGTAAATAGTCTGCAAAGGCTAATATCCAAAAGTTTCCTCGATTGTCTCGCCCACACACTCCCCCCCCTGCCTGAAACGGCTCCATTGGACTCCTTTGTTTACTTCCATAACACAATGACATCATTACAACACTCGAGCTACTATTGGCTAGCACTCTTACACATTTGGCGCTTTCACACCGGAGTACTTTTCCCAGTATAGTTCCGATAGTTCTTGAAATGTTGCGTTCACACCAAAAAAATCCGGAACTAGAATTTAGTTCATGAGAACCTTTTCACCCCCTTTTTAGTCTCAGTAGAAGCTGCTGGGAGTCCCAGCAGCTTCTACTGAAGCCAGTCCCCAACTCCGGGGACTTCCGGCCGGGGACTTCGGGTGGCAGTATACGCCGTGAAGTTGTTTGCGGCCTGCCAGTAAACCCAAAGCAGAAGAAGAAGAAGTGACGTCAGCGGCTTCATTTGCCTAATCCTCCCTCAGGGACTTATTCCGGTGTGAACGCGATCTGCTCTTTAGTTAATCAGAACTAAAGAGTTCTGATGAACTAAGTACTGGGAACTAAGTACGGCAAAGTACTTGGTGTGAAAGCGCCTATTGTATAAGACATGCTAAGGGGTGGGACATCTCTAAGAGGTTGTCCAATCACAACAGAGGCGGCCAGCTAACCAATCAGATCCAACTGAAGCACAAAATACAAATATGTACCTGAAAATCAGCAAAATAGGGCCCCTTTAAATTAAGATTGCTGTGATCCTCTGCTTTAGGCACTCTAATTAAATTAGGATGGGTGACAGAAAAGGCTCGGGAATGCGGTCCTTTGCGGATAAAAAGCTTTGAAGCGGCTGCGGTTGCCCCTGGTAACCTCAACGGCCTCGATTCGCCCGGCAGCTCTGCCTGGAAAAAGGTGGAAAGAAACACACAGAGAGAGAATTTCCAGCTCATTGACTTATAATTGGATACTTGAGAAACACACTTGTCTAAAAGGGACAAGCTGGCAATGAATGATATAGCTAATGAAATTAAAGCAATTCATTAGTGGCTTCCAGGTCTTTCCCCCCCTCCAAAACACACACAAACCGTATATGCACACATTCTTCTATGTTGTTTTGAAGTGGACCTGGCCCGGTGCCCAGCCCTTGATTCACACTCTAGTGGGACAAACCATTGGCAAAAACAAGGGAGGGGTGGGAGGTGTCGAAGAGAAGAAAAACATGCCACCTATAAAACGGTGTATTGACAGTAAGTGGTGTGTGTGTGTGTGTGTGTGTGTGTGTGTGTGTGTGTGTGTGTGTGTGTGTGTGTGTGTGTGTGTGTGTGTGTGTGTGTGTGTGTGTGTGTGTGTGTGTGTGTGTGTGTGTGTGTGTGTGTGTGTGTGTGTGTGTGTGTGTGTGTGTGTGTGTGTGTGTGTGTGCGTGTGTATCTCCCTAAACAAAAGCATTCCCGGCCTGCTGCTGGCGTAACCTCTTGATATACAGTATCTTCATTTTTTGTTCCTATTTGTATGAAGACGCGTCTGACAAAGCGCCACTGAGTGATGACCCCCATCGCACAATGACGTTGCCACAGCGACCGGGCCAAGACTCCAGCACGGGTCTGGGTCTTGGGCCCCTGGTGTCGCCAGTGTTGATGCCAGTGTGGGAATGCCAGAGCTGTCCTTCCTCCTACCTCACCCCCCTCTGTGCTCCCTGTTAACACACACACAAACTCACACAACAACAGAGCTGATAAAGGCTGCGGTTTGACTAGATTTACCCACAATTCTTGTTCTCGCAAAGGATGAACATTTCAAGAAGCCGCAGAAATGCAACAGTAGAGATCGCCTCTGTTGGGATTTGTGAACCCAGATCGGGAAGATGCCACATGAAGGCTCTAGTGTTTGCTCTTTGATTTGTTGGGTTTTTGTGTCTGATTGTGCCCCTGTGATGCCCTTCAAGTTCTCCAAAGACCAGTTCTGGTTGGAGCCTCCGTCGGAGAAGCTGAGGAAGCAGCTGGAGGAGGAGCTGAAACTGAGCGGCAGCAACCTGAAGAGCCATGCCTGGTACCATGGACCAATCCCCTGGGAGGTAGGCCTCAAACACACACACACACACACACACACACACACACACACACACACACACACACACACACACACACACACACACACACACACACACACACACACACACACACACACACACACACACACACAGACGTATGACAGATGAGCTTAAGATGGTGTTTCCTAAGAGGTTTGGATGCTGGGTGATTTGATTTTGTGGTTTCACTCCATCTACAGAGCTTCGTAAGTTGTGTTATGAAATAGTGTTTCCTTAATACTGTTCTTTAGTGATAAAGTAATATTCTATTGATGTTATCCATTTTTTAAATCAAGGTAGCGGTGGCCGAGCAAACGCACTACAACGGCCCAAAACATTTCCATTAGGAGGAACGAGCCGAGTTTCAAAAACGATACAATAAAAAAAACACAAATTAGCCAAAACAGATGCAAATGAAAACACTTCTTCACCAACTTAATAAAACAATGCAAAGCATTTATTAAAAGTGCTGCATAAACAAAACGCAAATAAAAAAAGCTGTATCAGTTAAATTCACAACGGAGAAACGGGGACACTTAAAAGTGATGCACACAGCTGGGACAGGCAGCGCTCTGTGTATGCAGTGCTTTCGGAAAACGCTGCCAAATCAACTTATTATAAACTAATGACGAGAAAAGGATTTGGATAAGGATATCTTATTTTCTCGGTATTTTGAAATAGGCAGGTTGGTGAACATTTTTACTATTACAGGTTCTTGAAAGCAATCTTTCAATATCCCCCCCAAGTCTTTTTTGTTTTATATGAATTCCAAAAGGCATCTATGCGGGAGTCAACATTTATCTATGGAGTTGGTGTCACACTGTATTTATCCCTGCTATAATACATTATTGTCATTCATTTAAACTGAATTACAAGTGGATTTTCATTTGTGGTATTTGTATCGGTGAGTTGTAAACATGAATGATTTATCTTCTTGTTGACCTACAAAAACATAAAAAAGTAGTAGCGGCAGCATTTTTATATACAGTACATTCGACATAAAAAACAAGTTGCTATAATGTTGCCAAAAGTCATGACCAGAACCATTATGCTGTTTGAATTATCTGTGAAAAATGTTTATTTGTATTTTTTTTTAAAAGAAGAAAAAAATATGCTAATTGAATTAATATTTCTGCTCAGGTGTCTGAGAGTCTGGTGGTGAACCACGGCGACTTCCTCCTCAGAGACTCTCAGTCCTGTCAGGGCGACTTCTTGCTCACGTGCCACTGGGAGCAGAAAACCCTTCACTTTGTCATCAGGAAGACGCTGGTTCAGTCCAGTGAGACGTACACCCGGGTGCAGTACAGCCTGGAGGACAAAGCGTTTGACTCTTTGCCAGCTCTTGTTCACTTCTACGTGGGCAGCAAGGCGGCTCTGACCGGGTGGAGCGAGGCTCAGATTCAGCAGCCACTGAACAGGACTCTGCCTCTCAGCTACCTGCAGACCGCCTTCTGCACTGCTGTCAGCCCCCCGTCAAGCCACCGAGAGGGGGGGGTCTGTCCGAAAAGGTAACATTTCACTGACATACATCACTTTTTTTTCATATGGCCTCATATCCAAAATAAGCAATTCAGGAATGAATTAAATGGGCCCTATTATGCTCAATACAGGTTTCATATTAGTATTGTGTTCCTCTACTGTGACATGTTTCCATGCTTTAATGTTCAAACAGCTCTTTATTTTTCTCATACTGCCTGTGCTGCAGCACCTCTTTTCACCCTCTGTCTGAAACCAGAGCCCAGTCTGCTCTGATTGTTAAGCTAGCTCTGTTGTGATTGGTCAACTGCTAAGAGAAATCCCACCCCTTAGCCTATTACAGTACGTACAATATGTTGGAGCGTTACATAGTGATGTCATTACTGTATGTTACGGAAGTAAATCCAATCGATGCGTTTCAGGCAGGGGGGGGGATTTGGGAGAGAAACCCAAAAATACCCTTTAATGTTTGTGTCTTGGTTAGTGTAGAAAAGTTTCAACACGTTGCGACAAAGTGTCATTAAAGCATAATAATACACAAATATAACTCCATTTGAATAATATTTTATTAGTCAGAAATAGTTAAAAAAAAAATCTAAATGAACATGTTCCTGTATGGTGATAACCATCTACCATCTGTGTCTCTCTCTCTCTCTCTCTCTCTCTCTCTCTCTCTCTCTCTCTCTCTATCTCTCTCTCTCTCTCTCTCTCTCTCTCTCTCTCTCTCTCTCTCTCTCTCTCTCTCTCTCTCTCTCTCTTTGTGTCTCCATGCAGTCCTTCCTCTCTCCACCACAGGGAGCCAGATGTACACGGGGAGCAGGACGACCGTCCTCTGCTGACTGCTGCAGAATTCTCCACTGTCTACAACAGTGAGTCTCATACCATACTAAACTATTTTTTCATCTTTGTTGCCATGCTCACAGAAGAGACACAACCCATAAAATAGTTCAATCATAAATGACCATATGACTGAAAATTCCCCAGGGCCAACATCAAATCATAAAAGTACCCTTTGTCAGTTTGACTTTTGCCCAGATAGACTTCCACCAAACTAATGAAACTCAACGAACAGATCAAATAACACCATGCAATCTTGTAATGTTTATTTGTGGCGTTAGCCTGTGTTATGGTAGCCACAGAAAGTGTCCTGATCTGGTGGGGAGTAGGGGCAGGCCTCCAGTGTTTCCCACTCCAAAGTGCTTCACACAGCTGCATTCAATTTAAACTGTGTGTAATAATAACAGTGACAGCAGACATGCAGATGACTCCGACTGAAACATGAATTACAAATGTGTGTCATTGAGCAAGTCTCAATTGTATCATAAATGTATTTATAAAAGGTATCATGGTTAGGTTTTAGTAGTAGTCATTCTAGCCAAACTGTGGTGCTAACGTAGAAGCCAAGTGGCTGTGCTCAACTCTTGATTTGCTCGAGACGTTGTGGGGCGTGGCCTTAATATCGGTTCATCATCCCCCTACAGCTACCCGATCTATAAAGTGTATTTTTAATTAAATCCAATATAAAAATGTACAATGGATGTATTACAGTATTGATAAACCCTTGGATCGACGCTACTTCTTAGTCCTCAGAACTGAGGGCATACTGGATGTCACAGTGAGACACTAAGGCCTCTAAAATAAAAAGTGGTATTACATGACAGATTGCACCAAGCTCTGCTAAGCATGCTAATATTAGTAGATTTGTTTGATTATGGTTTTCAACATAACGTCAGCTTTCTAACATATTACATACATGATAGTGTGGGACATTTTTTAAACCAAAATGCTGGCCTTATCTTACACATTGTATATTTAAGCTTCAATGGTGCTAACCAAATAACTAAAAGGTCCCAGGTTTGGCTGGGGACCTTTACTGCACCTTTGTTGTCCTACCCCTCAGTATTCATGTCTCCCTACACGACTCTTAGCTCTCAAATATAGGCAACTGATCATTAAAAAAGACAACAGGATAATGTGAAATACTAGATGAGTGTGAGAAATAAACAGAAACTGATATACACATAGATTCGTGGAACAATCACAGAACAACGTCATATCAAAGCTAAAAATCATGATAAAATCAAAAATCAAGTAGTCCTTCCCCCAGTCTTATTGACAGACAATCGTAATATACAGCTATTTGTGAAATTAATAAAAAAAGATTATACCGACAACATTTTCTAAAACCTGGATACACACACTAAAGCATGTTAGGATAACAATGTAAGACATGCTCATAATACATCTTAATACAGTTCAGACTAGTTACCAAGTATAAATGTTTAGAAAAATGTACGACTGTGTATGTAGCAGTATATTCATTATTCACTTTTGACCTTGCTTCTATAAAACAAACATTTCCACATAACTTTAACTGCAACAAGAAAAACTGTTAATAATAGCAACATAACTGCCAGTAGAAACGCTACCACATCGATCGAATGGTACTGGATCTTGGACATCTTGTAAGACTCTGTCCTTAGATGTGCTGCTCCCTTGTTCCTCATCACAAACTCGATCCAGAACATGGCCTTGTCCAGTGGTTTCATGGGCTGGTCTCTGTGCAGGTTAGACAGCACCCTCATCTTCTCCCTGTAGGTTGGGTCATAGAGTACCTCCTTCAGCACCTCCAGGAAGTTGTCTTTGTTCACAGTTGCAATGTCCAGGACTTGGGCCACACCTCTTGCTTTCATCCTGAAGAAGTTGTCAGGCTGGTCAAACATGAGGGGCAGGCCCACAAGGGGTACACCGTGGTAGATGGCCTCCTGGATTCCATTGGTGCCTCCGTGGGCCACAAACAATTTGGTCTTGGGGTGACCCAGGAGGTCGTTTTGAGGCAGCCAGTCCAACAGTAAGGTGTTGTTGCCGAGGGTTGATGGTCTTTTGCCTTTGTGCCTCCAGATCACCTTCTGAGGAAGTTGGGCAAAAGCAGCAGCAATTTCCTCAGTAATATCTTCAGGAAGTGCTGCTACCAGGGTTCCCAAAGTCATAACGATAACACCATGTTCACCAGAGCTCTGGACAAAGTCTTCTAATTCTTTAGACAGGGGCTTGGAGGGTTTGCACTGAAATCCTGACATGTAGACAATGTTTGGCATTGTGGGTCTTGGGAACTCAAAGGTAAAATCGTTCCTCATTAACCAGATGTCTGCTGCCTGAAAAAGGTCCATGTAATGAACATCATTTCCAAAGTAACGCTGGACAAATGGTGTGTAGTTTGAATATGTGATATGCCAGATTAGAAACCGTGTTAAGACATACATAAGTAAGTTCTTGACCCGTTGAGGAAAAGTCATCTTGTCAGTCATCTCTGTCCCTGATATTGGGACATATGACAATGGGGAAGGGGCAATTGCATCATGACCATCCCCCTGAACAGTCCACCTCACATTGAAGACAAGTGGAAGACCCAAACGGTGACCAAGAAACACCCCTCCACCGAGTCCAGGGTCTGTCAAAACCAAATCATACTTGGCATCATTCAGGCTCTGCATCAGTTGGGTATTCTCAAAAATGTCCCCTACCATCTCAACCTGATTTTTGTGCATCTGAGAAAACTGCTTCCCCATTTCATACTCCAGAGATATACGAGACCAAAGTGAAGCTCCTCTCCGCCGCATGTTTATCATTGTTGTTGTAAATGACCCAAAGATTTCCTTATTAAAACCAGCAGAGGAATCCATAGTGATGGACTCATAGTAAGGAGACTCTTGCTTGATGTACATGCTGTCTGATGACCTCAACACTGTGATTGTATGACCTCTGGAGTGAAGTTCCTCAACAAGAACTTTCATGTTGATCCAGTGGCTTCCATCCAAGGGGACCACCAACACTTTACCTCCATGGACAAAGGGTGAAGAGCAGAGCAGCACTGCAAGTGCCACCAAGGCCGGTCGGTACATCACTGAAAGAGATGTTGACAAGAGATACAAGAATCAAGGTTAACAGTTTCCTGAGGTCAACCATGTGCACCACACAAAGGTGTTTCATGAGGCCCTCCTTATGTGTCGCGAGTGTTGACGGGGGGCCCACGCAAGATGAGGCCCCACGTAGTCTGCGTGATCTACGTGTAGGGAGGGGCGGCCCTGAACCTAACCAACAACTGAACAAAGAGAATTTTTTTTAAAAAGAACACCATTTCAGCTACTTCATTAGTTTTAGAAAGGTTTGTGCCACCTATGAACATTTGTATATAGTGTAACAGCTCAAAAGTGAACATTGTTAAAGTTACAGTATAGGAGCCCAACTGTTGATTTACTATTTTGATTATTTAATTGTTTAATTATGCCTAAAATATTGAATATTGGTTATGGATTGGAATAGGTTGTAAATTAATTGTGTCATTTAAGATGTTAAACGAAACAGCTGATTGTCACTGCGATTGCCTCAGCTGGTACAAAAGAGTCCTGCTGACGATACTCTGCGTTCATTTTGGTTGTGAAGCTGCACTGCAGAGAAATTATGAGTTTAAGTTGTTTATTTTATGTGACGTAACTGTCTCCATCATCATCTGGTAAGACACTTTTATTTGTGTTAAAAGAAGAGAACAGTGAAGAAAATACATGTAAAGGATAACATGGAAATACATGTACCGAAACAAACAAACAATATCTCTCTGTGTGATGTGTAAGCGCGTCGGCCAGGCGCAAAACCAAAGGACAGAAAGGAGCAAAAACGAAGTGGGAAAGATTGCTTTTTTAGTTTTAGTTTTAAAACCTTGCTTAATGAGCGCTGGTCCGTGGAAATGTTTGTTTTGAAACCAAGAACTCAACTCATAACAGTATGCCAAACACTCGCCTTCGTTTTTCTACGGCTTCTGCTTCCGGGAACAGCGGTGTTGTGAATGACTGAAGGCAACGATCGCTCCTCCGCCAATTACGTATGTTACGCGTCACTGCTGTGGAGCGTTCAAAGACGGAAAAGCTGTTGGAAACATCTCAACTAGCGGAAAACAGTACAAAATGCAATGGAAATGAAAGCAAGACAATGCAAGTTCATAAACAATTAAGTACAATTCAAAAGGAATAAATGTGTTGTCTTGAACAAAAAACTAAAAAATTGCAAGCTTGGAAAGTGACATTGACTCTGTGTATATGGAAAGGCTCAAGCGACTGAAATCATCAAGGAGTGCAACATTGGGTGCATTGACAAGGAAAATAAATGAAATAAGAAAAATGTCTGCAATGTGGAACTGGTTAAGTCAAAAATGGAAAGAGAATTTATACAACTACGCAAGGAAATGGAAGAGTTCAATGATTCTGTTCGAGCTTTAAAGTCCATTGAGGAGGAGAAAGAGGTGGAAATGTATCAAGATGAATGGTACAACCCCAAAGCAGCTGCCTTGGAAGAGTTTACTCAGGAGGTCTCAAACTGGATCGCTGATGCTCCTGTGTCCAATGTGGTCCAGACAAACATAAAATAATATTTTGTGTTCCACCTCAGGACAGTATTTCAAATGTAAGGAGTGTTTATTCGCAAAGTTCCAGGAAATCCTCTCTGTCTTCTATCACCTCTGCTAAAATAGAATTGGAAAGTCAAAAGGCAGAATTGTTAGCACGAGCAGCTAGGTTGACTCAGAAGTAAGCATTGGAAAAGGAGGAAGCTGTTTTGAAGGCCAGAAAGGAACAGCTGGAACTTGAAACAGAAATTGCAGCAAACACTGCAAAATTGAGTATAATTAAAGGAATGGCGGAATCGCATGCAATCGTGTGCCAAGCAGGAGACTGAATGAACGAATATTTGGATAACTCACTATTTGTGAGTACAGCCTTAGAGCAAGAAAATGCTAATTTAAATGTGGACAAGCATAAACCAAACATCAATAAAACTGCAAATGCCGTTGATAGTGAAACACAATTCATATCAGAACGTCACGAAAGTTCAACTTCATCCAGCACGTCTTCTAGCACGGGAGAGGACAATATAAACAACTTAATAAACATCATGGAAAAACAGACTGTAATAACAGAAACAAGGGTAAAGCAGTGATTTGTACGGCAAAGTTAGGTTTGGAAACTATATAATTTCCTTTTTGGCGGGCATGCATAACACGCGATAACACCGGAGCCTCGCTGCGGGGAAGCTTTGGCGCTGTTCCGAGTTTGTTCTAATCTGTCAAAAATGACGGACTGCTTTCAGATTTTTCCATCATTGTTAAAACAAATCTGAAAATATTCGGTTAACGCGACCTCTGGTGTTATTACACATTCGCCCCACAAAGGGTCAGAAGCCCCGAAGATGGACACTATAGTGCAGTGGACTTTATATGAATTATAGTTATTAACAAACAAATGTTTTGTATTGCCTCTCCATTTTATGTTTATTAATAATTGTCATGTGTGATTCCATAACAATTAGGGGCTGGAGTTTAGGAGTCAAAATGTTGATTTACTAGTTTGATTATTTAATAGTTCAATTATGCGTAAAATAATTCATAAGAAATTATGAGTTTAAGTTGTTTATTTTATGTGACGTAACTGTCTCCATCATCATCTGGTAAGACACTTTTATTTGTGTTAAAAGAAGAGAACAGTGAAGAAAATACATGTAAAGGATAACCTGGAAATAAATGTACCGTATTTTTTTGATAGTCATTGATAACTTCAGTTGATTTTAACGCCTGACACATTTTAAGGGACACACTGAAACCAATTCCAGTCTTAGTAGCTCTACTGATGTTTCTGTGTTTGTACAATACTTTTTAGGCTATCGCCAAAGTATATTTTCAAATACAGTGAGCTATATTTATATATAGTACTGTGCAGTATTGTAGTATATTTGAATAATACATAGCGCAGAATTTCAATTGTACGGTAGTGTGAAAGCTTTTGAAACAGCTGTACAGATTTTTCAAAGAGACAATACAGGATTGAGCGAAGCTGTACATATCAATGCTATAAATTATTGTATATTATTTTTTCAGTTAGATTTTAAATGCACTGGAAATTAAGAATAGAAAGTCAATTGTAATAATCACCCACTTGTAGTGATCAATTTGACACAGACAAATATGTTCACTATAAGAGGTTTCCACTGTTTATGTTCTACTCTTTTTATTTTCACATTATGTGCAATGCCTTTTAACATGCTGCTGTGAAGAAATACATTCCCAATTTGGGATCAATAAAGTGAATCTTATCTTTATCTTATTTTGTAAGGTTGATCCCTTGTTAGTTTTTTCAAGCAGAGAATACAACTTTAAAAGGGAATAGTCTAACAAATTATAAGATTTTTGATACTAAATGGGACAAAGATTACAACATAATTTGCTTCTTGTGTACACTTTGTTGAGAAGGTATTCATTTAATGATGTTTTTATTGTGGTGGTTTTTTGCAATATATATTTCTATCTAACATTTTGATTTATTATGTTTGAATACTTTATATACATGGTCAAGTGTATACATGACTGTGTATAATGCATGGGCGTCGCAGCCATTATATGAGGGTGACAAGTCCCCCCCACCTTTTAAAATGATCAGTGGCGTTTTTATATGTACAAAAGTGGTGGGGCACAAAAAACTTAGATGTCTATATATAAGCTTCTGCAGTGACGTGCAGTGAGGTTCATGGCTGGTGAGGCACTGGCACTGACTCTTCAGGTTTACAAATATTATATTTTGACCTAAACCAAAATATAATATTATTTTCAAAAGCTTTTTTTGTCTGATGCTTCGATTAATTTTAAACAGACAGTTCAACAAAAGGATACCCAAAAAATGTAATTTTATCATTTAAATATTGAATTGTTCTCTCTTAGTAAGATCCCATTTTCAATAAAATGGCGGTCTTACCTTGACTTGAAGATGAAGTCCATTTGCCTATCCTTCTGGACAAAAATGTCTATAACTTTTTTGTAAAAGTCCTCCTTATCTTCTTGTAGTTTCAAAAGTCTATCATAAATCTAATCCATAGATTTATGATAAAAAAATTATATAAGTAGGGTAGACATGTGGATGTTATCCGGCTGATCAAAACGTGCATTTATCTAACAGGTACGTTTCCCACAGATCTTATTTCGAGCTATTTTCTAAAATCCTCTGGAGAAATCTCATTGCTTTTTTGTGCTTACTTCCTGGTTTTAGGACGCGCCACTGCAGCTCTCTCGTCTCCTCTTCACACACCACACTTTTCGCGGCACACGTACTTACAGCCAATCAGCTCTGAATGATTTGAGATGACGTATGGTGGGGATGGTAGCTCCGTGCCCCTCTGGTCATTATTTTTTTGCCACACACATTACATTACAAAATACTCTGAGCATGCGCAGTGTAGTTTTTACAGTCATCGTTCACTTCACAGCGAGAGGGAGGGGCATAATCAGGTTTTGTCCCACATGGCTCTAAACAGCTCAATAGGCACACACTGTGACTGTAGACACACTAATTAGAAGAACACAGACTAAAACAGCAATGTACAGACGAATCAGATGATTAAACATGATCTTAAAATATATTTTATATATTTTTTTATTTCTTTTTTTGCATTTTTGTAATCATTATTTGTAATACTTTCTGCTGACACTAGGTGGGGCTGTGCCCCACCTGCCCCTAATGACCAGTCGCCACTGAAAATGATTAGTTTAGACCCCCCGACTTTGACCATGTCGAATACTACTAATTTAAAATAAATAATGAGTGTTTTTTTTATTAAAGACGGCTCTGAATTAATAATCAAATATGTTTATTTACTAGTGGATGAAATTACAAAATGTACCATCATTTTCCTCATGCTACTATAGCCACATAAAAGTATAAAAGCACCTGTCAAAATGCACCAGAATACAGGAAATGACATCTACTCTGTTTTCTGGGGGAGGACCCCCACATCCCCTGTTAAATTGTCCAACCCACATTGAGGATGCTTCCTACGCCCATGGTATAATGTATGCACAAACGATGAAGAAGCTAGGATGTAATTTATTTATATATTTATATATTTCCAGAGTGGTGGCGTGTGATGATTCATTGATTAAAATCAAGTAAGGAAAAGTACATATAAAATAACTAATCCTTTGTAAAGTTATATTTCACTTCTGTGCAATACATCGGACCAAACCTGTAATATGTGTAAAATAGAAATTCAATACATTTTTTTTTGCCAGTTTTTATTTACAGCCTGAAATCATGATTTTGAAAACATGAATTGATTTGAACAATTTACATTAAAACATTGGATCATTACTAAAACTCATGAGGAATATTAAATCATTGCCCAGCCCCAGATGATAGACAAAAAAATTAAAATATGAACGTTTTTATAAATATAGTCTTATATCATTTAATTTAATTTAAAAAATGCAGTAGTTTATAAAAAACATTTTTGTATTTTAAAAAAACCTGCAAGAATTATTTCAAATAATCTGTGCAGACAATCGAACGAAAAAATCACGTTAACATAACTTCTTTGGCATAATTCAGGTTAGACTTCTAGTACTAAACACTGAGAAACAGACTTCCCAAATTTAAAAAAATATTGTCAGACAAACATCCTGCAGCACATTAATCATTCCTTTTTGACTTTGTTTCTGGAAAAAAATATTTGCCACAAAACCTTCATTGCATAAATAAAAACTGCAAAAACTAGAAAAACGACTGCAAGCAAAAAGGCCACCACATCGATCGAATGGTACTGGATCTTGGACATCTTGTAAGACTCTGTCCTAAGATGTGCTGCTCCCTTGTTCCTCATCACAAACTCGATCCAGAACATGGCCTTGTCCAGTGGTTTCATGGGCTGGTCTCTGTGCAGGTTAGACAGCACCCTCATCTTCTCCCTGTAGGTTGGGTCATAGAGTACCTCCTTCAGCACCTCCAGGAAGTTGTCTTTGTTTACAGTTGCAATGTCCAGGACTTGGGCCACACCTCTTGCTTTCATCCTGAAGAAGTTGTCAGGCTGGTCAAACATGAGGGGCAGGCCCACAAGGGGTACACCGTGGTAGATGGCCTCCTGGAGTCCATTGGTGCCTCCGTGGGCCACAAACAATTTGGTCTTGGGGTGACCCAGGAGGTCGTTTTGAGGTAACCATTCCAAAAGTAAGGTGTTGTTGCCGAGGGTTGATGGTCTTTTGCCTTTGTGCCTCCAGATCACCTTCTGAGGAAGTTGGGCAAAAGCAGCAGCAATGTCCTCAGTAATGTCCTCAGGAAGTTTTGCCACCAGGGTTCCCAAAGTCATAACGATAACACCATGTTCACCAGAGCTCTGGACAAAGTCTTCTAATTCTTTAGACAGGGGCTTGGAGGGTTTGCACTGAAATCCTGACATGTAGACAATGTTTGGCATTGTGGGTCTTGGAAACTCAAAGGTAAAATCGTTCCTCATTAGCCAGATGTCCGCTGCCTGAAAAAGGTCCATGTAATGAACATCATTTCCAAAGTAACGCTGGATAAATTGTTTGTAGCTGGAATCTGTTACATACCAAGTTTGAAAACAAATATAGAAAAAGTATGTTAAGTTCTTAACCCGCTGGAGGAAATTCATCTTGTCAGTCAGCTCTGCCCCTGGTATTGGGACATATGAAAAGGGGGAAGGTGCAATTGCATGATGTGCCTCACCCTGAACAGTCCACCTCACATTGAGGACAAGTGGAAGACCCAAACGATGACCAATAAGCACCCCTGTACCGATCGCAGGGTCTGTCAGAACTAATTCATACTTGGCATCATTCAGGCTCTGCATCAGTTGGGTATTCTCAAACATCTCCCCTACCATTGCAAGCATTTGCAAGTTCATCTGATAGAACTGTTCCACCAGTTCATACTCCAGGGATAAACGCGCCCAAAGTGAAGCACCTTCCCGACGCATGCTCAGCATTTTGGTTACAAATATCCCAAAGCCTTCTTCATCAAAGCCAGCAGCAGAATTTATTGTGATGGACTTGTAGTAAGGGGACTCTGTCTTGATGTACCAGCTGTCTGATGGCCGTATAACTGTGATTTCGTGACCTCTGGAGTGAAGCTCTTCGACGAGGACTTTCATGTTGATCCAATGGCTTCCATCCACAGGGACAACCAAGATTTTCCCTGAATTGACCAAGGGTGAAGAGCAGAGCAGCACTGCAAGTGCCGTCAAGATTGGTCGGTACATCTCTGAAAGAAAATCTGACAAGAGATGTGATAATGTTAGATCTTCCAGATTTCAAAAGGCTTTGCATTTCTGAATATCCAACTTATGCTTCAGCTTAACAAATAATTGAACATAAATCTGGTTTCTGAGCTAATTTGCGAACTATGGCTAGTGGTTTATAAGAGGACACGACTTACCATGTTACAGAGGTTCTGAACCTAATGATGAACTAAAACTGTATATAAGATATTGGTTGGATAAAGATGTACAATATTTGTTACAAGGTTAAGGATCTTTAAGAGACTGCAAGCAGTGTCATCATCAAAGCTGCTAAGCAAAGTAGGAGTTGTGAGTAATCTAGCTTCCAGACAACAGGCTCAATTGACTTGGTTATTTTAGCTACAATTCGGAGAAACTTCAAAAATAACAAGATAATTACTGTAAATTTGGCATATGTGTGTGTAAGGTTTTTTTTTAACCTCACTTATTTCCAACTAATTGTTGGGACATTTCAGTTTGCAAAAGGGCACCTTGTTCTTGTGTTTGTTTGACAATTAAAGGCTCTGATGATTTAGTCAAAGGGAAAGGGGCATTCAATTATAAGATTTTGATACAAAACTGGTCAAAGATTACAACATAAATGTCTTGTGTAAAAATATGTTTTCAATTACCCCTGTAAAATGTAGGAAAACGTTTTTAAACAGGAAGTACAAACTTAAAATCTGTCATATAGCACATGCTTTCTTCAAGGCTGTACATCTGATTAGTTACATTTGTATTAGTGGAAAATATCAGAAAGTATCTGAATTCACAACTGCATGAAAAAACAAGCATAATATATAGGGTTGGAAAATAAAGTTATAGTCATTTTTATTATATTAAAGGGGACCTATCATGCAAAATGCACTTTTGTACGTCTTTTATACATGAATATGTGTCCCCGGTGTTCCAGGGAACTCACCAAGTGTCAGAAAACACAACCCTCTCTATTTTCCTCCATACCCAAATCTCTAAAAAAGGGGCTGCAACGGATCTGATAAAAACTGATCCAGATTTGAACACTTCAATGACGTCACAGAAGTGGCGCTACGGCTATTGGGCCAACTCCACCAATCAGGAGGAGACAGCCACGGCCATTGCCGTTCGAAAGCGCTGGAGACAATGTAGTACATATGCCAGGCCTGTAGGTGGTGCTGTTCTCACAGAATCAGCCCTTGCAAAAACAGGGGATGAGCGAAATGAGGCATGGCTAAAATGCATGATCTGTTTGGTATTTTGAAAAAATATGCCTTATATAGGTATGGTCCTACACTATATTATTATAATATAGCATGATAGGTCCACTTTAACAAAGATATGTGGATGAGTCCACGAATGCACAGATGGCATGTGTTTATCACCATTTTAGATGTCCACACAGGTTCACACGGACCTTCGCAGGCAGGGGCAGCAGCAACCTTGCCCCTCTGCAAATGAATATGCAAATGCTTAACCACTTATTTATTTTCAATCATCAATTTCTAATTTTAATCGATTAAGCTAAAAGCCAACTGCATTCTAAGTCTTGCCAGCTCAAGTAAACATGATTATTGACACAACGGCAACCTTTTCCAGCTCTGAGGATCAACAACACTAACAGTTAAGTTATGGAGTGTGGACTGGTACTTGGAGAGGTCCCAGTTCACCTCCTGAGCCCTACCGTGGTGCCCTTGAGCAAGGCACCGGACATCCCCCCACCCCCCCACTCCCCATTGCTCCCCGGGCGCTGTACAATAGCTGCCCACTGCTCCTAATACTAGGATGGGTAAACAGCAGAGAACACATTTCACTGTGTGTGCTGTGTGCATGAACATGTGTGACCATTAAAGAGGGTTTCATCCCTCCAATTCTATCTATCTATCTAAGAGCACAGTGTGTTTTTTAGTAGTTTCAGAAGTGCAGAAAAAACAAAGCTGAAGCACACCACTACAAGGCTTTCTATGAAGGATTTGCAGCAAACTGAAGCACACTGCTTCAAATCTTACATAACGTCCTGATTCCCTGATTATACAACACAGGCACAATGTGTGGGAATTCCTGCCGCTTATTCCCAGGAGTTTTACAAAAGCTGTTTTGATGTGGTAAATGTTCTCTCTCTCTCAGGTTTCACAGCTTTGTGTGTCAGTAATAATAGGTTTTAAACTAGGAACGGTATATAAAAGCAGCTGCCTTTTGTACTTACAAGGACAAATGTCAATCAAGCTTATTGCATTATGTTGCAAAGAAGCACAACTGTTAGATTTATAATAATATTAGTAATTATTTTTTTCAGTTTCATTTGTCTCAATGACCATACTTGTGTACTACTACTGATAATAATAATAATAATAATAATAATAATAATAATAATAATAATAATAATAATAATAATAATAATAATAATAATAATAATAATAATAATAATAATAGTAATAATAATAATAGTAATAATAATAATAAAATATAATAAAAACAAATAATAATAATGGCATATAAATATGGTACATTTGATTATAAAAATACAAAATTATATATGAGTAAAGGCTTACACTTTATGATGTGTGCTCTTTATAGCAACAATACAACTTTTCATTACTATTGAAGAACGGAGAGTTTAGTGCAATTCATTTAAAGGCCCAATACGACTTGTTATAAATAAAAAAGTACGCGCTCTGCATAAGGAAAGAAAAGGTCCTGACTCTGACATTACTGCCAACAGGAAACGTGAGACAATTGCAAGAGCTGATAGTAGGGATGCTCCGATCGCCAATTTTGGGGCCGATCGCCGATCGCCGGAATCAGTATCTGCCGATACCGATCGCCGATCCGATCGAGTGGGCGGGGCCTAAATGGAAGATTTAAACATCACTTTAAATCTTCCATTTAAAGTGATGTTTAAAACTCAGTTAATGGGGCTCATTCACTGGAGCTTCCACAAACAACAATCAACTTAATTATTACATTCAAATTATGTATATTATTCAAGTTTACATTCACTTTGGATAATAACACGGGAGAAATGAGCAAGCTCTCTTTTCCTCTCTCTCCCTCTCTCTCTCCCCCGCTCTCCCTCTCCTGACAGCCCGTCAGTATCGTCTCATGCAGCTCGCTGATCCAGTAATGTGTGAGGCCGACAGTGAAGAATAAACATATTTATAACTAGTTTAGCTTGTTCCAGAGGTAGATAAAATAGCTCCACCCGCCCATCACAGCGGGTGGAGCTGCAGGATCTCTGCTTCACACACACGTTGCATACCGCTATTTTACTGTCTTTTTCGGACACCTTAAAATAATGCCAGACCGGTGAAACCATTTTGGCGAGCTTGTTTTGCCGCGTACAGAGAAAAGTGTCATGTATTTTACGTCATGCGATCGGCCCTCGCGATCGGCATGTTTAGAGAGCACCGATCGATCGGTAGAGAGTGAGTATTGGCAGATCTCGATCGGTGACCGATCGATCGGAGCATCCCTAGCTGATAGGCATCTGTTTTAAATACAAGTACTAAGAACACTAAGTTATTTGACTCTGGGTCTCATTGTGCTTTCCCGTTGCTTCGACTGCTCATCTATAACTATAAACTTAGATTGTCTTTCATGTTTTATAAGCTAAACCTTAAAAATACTATAGTTCAAGGTATGTTGTTCAAAGCATTCTAACTGCTGTCAATAGAAAACATCTGGAAGTCTTTGTACCTGACCGTAGCATTCATCTGCTAGTACTCAGGGTTTACTCTTTGCAAGCCCATATACATCACAGTAATACTCACACCATGCTACACACAAATGAAAACGTACTGAAATCATTAGCAAAAAGTAATATACCTATTCTAGCCCCAAACACTTACCGAGAGCGTCCCGGTCAACGGAGTTCACGAGCTTGTTTGTGCGTTCCTCCTTCAAAGCAAACGGATGGCCGACTGTTCTCCAGCTCTGTGAGATACTGCAGCTCGGAGGGTGTGGGCACTGAACAGGACTAAAGTTCAGAGTGTGTGGTGTGCTCCAGTAGCAGTTTAGTTACACAAAGGAGAGCTAAATCTACGGCAGTCTCACGTAACAAACTCAGACTTTGACCTTAAAGATGTAGTTCTGAGATAACTCTGTGGAGGGCAAATAAATATGATAAACTAAATTAAACTGTGTTTCCTACACCGTATCCATTCTGTAAACACTGCATTTTTGGCGATTACCTCGAAGTACCTCGATTATGCCTTTCTTTTTGTCTGCAGAATTCATTAGTCATTTTATGATTAAAGGGGCCCTATCATGCTCATTTTCATGTTCCATAATTGTTTTTGGTGCCTCTCCTGGGACTCTACTGGAAGGACTACAATGGAGGTGTTTCAGGCAGGGGGGGAGTGTGTGGGAGAGAAACTCCCTCTGGATAGAACTTTGGGATTTTAGCCTTTGCAGACCATTAACATGCACAAAAACCTACATAACACACTACAGGGAAGGTAAACGCCCACAAAAGCATAATAGGGCCTCTTTGAAGAAAATGAAAAACTCAGAGGAAGAAATAATAAACATTGAATTGTGTAGATAAAATACAACTAAGAGTCAAAGTGTTTTATTATTTCTGTTTCAAAATAAGTATTGGATAAAAAAATAAGTAACAAAAGAACCTTACAACCGCACAAACCGGTTAAAAAAGAAACAAAAAATCCCCAAAAATAAAATGCAAATCTGGAAAGAATGAACATACATACAGTACATACAGTAGATTAGTTTTAGTCAAGTTATGCAATCTGGGTTATTAGCCTGTAACCAAACAGTGTGGTAATACATGAACTACATAACCTTGTTTGTTGACTTTAAACTTTACCCTTGGACTAAATGTGAACTACAATGCAGCTTCATTTAAAGCTGAATGTATTTGTCCATTCTGACACTCTACACTAAAATGATTGTTGTTTGAAGAAAAAGAGCTTTCTATTTCTACATGAAACAAATGCATGAAAAAGTGGTGCCCCTTGCTTATCAGTGAGGATGATAACGTAAAAGATGATAGTGATGAGCCATGATAGCCTGTAGTGTACACTATCAATGATTCGAAAGTGTAGGCTAAAGCTAACAGTTAATTTTGCAGTTAGCCAGCTAAACATTTGATTAAATAGTATTAATAATATTACAAAACTTAACTAACATTCCTTCTGAACTCTCTCTGTAGAGTAAAGACTAGGTTACTGGTGGTGCCTCATTTAACTCACAGCATTTTCTTAATTATTTCCCTCCTGTAACTTATTCAAAAGCATTAAAATAACAGATCACTTTGATTGATGTTATATGAACCCAATTGAAGTGAATTGCTTAAAGGTCCCATGTCATGGCCATTTCTACTGATCATAATTCCATTGTTGAGGTATACTAGAATAGATTTATATTGTGCAATGTTCCAAACTCACATTGGTTTCTCATACAGCATCTCTGTATAGTACGTGTATTCACTCTCTGTCCTAAACGGCTTGTTGGAGCTCCTGCCCCCCCCCCCCTCCCTGTGAGCCCATTGGCCGTCTGCGAGACACAGCGAAACCCAGCCCAAAACCAGCCCGAACACACACACACACACACACCCGCAGCCTGGCTGGGAGTTTGTGTGTGTGCTCACACACCGACTCACAGCCTCGCCGCGTCCCACCGTCTCAGGGAGGAGAAATCGGCGGAGCTGCAGCTGAGAAAAGAGTGTGTGTGTGTGTGTGTGTGTGTGTGTGTGTGTGTGTGTGTGTGTGTGTGTGTGTGTGTGTGTGTGTGTGTGTGTGTGTGTGTGTGTGTGTGTGTGTGTTGTGTGTGTGTGTGTGTGTGTGTGTGTGTGTGTGTGTGTGTGTGTGTGTGTGTGTGTGTGTGTGTGTGCCAATCCACGGACTTAACCTAACAGCTCCGCGGACGTCACGTAACGGCTCCACGGATTGGTCCATTTGGACCAATGGGTCCATTTGGGTATGGGCACGTCACTGTACCCAGGAAGAAAAAGAGAAATCTCCAACGAGGCGTTCTGGGGCAGCATAGACAGGTATTTTCTGTGTTAGAGTTTTACTCGCTACAGGGTGTACTTTGAGGGTTTTTGACTCTGCAGACCGTTTACATGCACAAAAACCTTCATAACACACAAGGGGACGGGTAATAACTGGAAAAGCATGACATGGGAGCTTTAATGTTCATGTTGTTTTGGAACAGGTGGCTCAGATCAACATATTGCACCTTTTAAATAAGAACCAGTAAACTTATCCTTTCCTATTAAACTTGCTGATACCTTATAATTTGATAGGCTGAACATTGGACTCACACACATTGGTACAAGTTCATAATCATTCCTCCTTTTCCTCTCTTCTTCTTCTATCTCCAGCCCCACAGACTAGAAGTCCTGGCAGTAGCCGGGCAGCCAGCATGGCGCCATCCCCGTCCCTCTCCAGGGGCTCTGAGACTGCCGGAACCCTGCTTTCTCCCAACAGCACCCTGAACACACCGTGTAATGACAGATCCCAACCTCATCTGAACCTGGACCCCCTGTCTACTGATGAAGATGGAAGCTGCTACACCGAGCTGTACCCCGGCCCCCAGAGCTACGTGGAGAGGCTGCGGGTGGAGGAAGGGTCATTGGGCATTGATCCACTGAGGGCCGAGGACAGGGGCTTTTACTTCTCGCCATCGGTGGAGACGGTATCTTCTTTTAAACCGAACAGGTACCAGTCGTCACTGATGCCTAAGGAGAATAAGCCTTTGGAGATGGGCATCCTGCGGAGGGTGAAGGAGCTGCTGTCGGAGGTCGACCCCAGGACAGCGGCCAAACATATCACCAAGGCTGACTGCATGGTACTGATGGAAATCAATACTTTAGTTCAACAGTGGCTAACATTGCTATTTTAATATGAAAAGAGTTGAAGGCAGCTGTTTTACAGGATGCTCTCAGATAAATCACCAACCAAAAATGACCCTCATACAGGAGTGTGTACATTTGTCTGTGTTTTCGCAGGTAGCAAGAATTCTGGAGGTGACTCCAGAGGTGCAAAGGATGATGGGAGTTAGTTCAGGGATGGAGTTTCTAACGTTGCCACATGGCCAACAGATGAGGCTGGATCTATTGGAGAGGTGAGTAAGGATTCATAAATCCTGGACCCTTCTTTCTCCAGTCAACCTCATCCAACAAGTACTTGGGTCCAGCAGAGGATACACTATACTATTTGACCAAGTATAGAAAGAGCCTGTAAACATTAAGTACACTTGTACAAGACATAGTGGCATCTAGTGGGGAGATTTCAGATTGCAACCAACTGAACACCCTTTGGTGCAACCTTCCCAAGCATGGCCTTCAGATACATTGGATATGTGAAAGGCCACTACTCTGTGGAAGTCAAGCCCCCAGGAAGTGCGGCAGACGTTGAAGCAAATTTTCGACTTATGTGTCAGCCTGTAACATTATTGTGCCCAAACTTTTTCCAATTGACTTACATTGTTAAACCAACAATTGTATAGCCCTTAATTATATGGTGGAATGGTGGAAGGTACACCACCATTTGCCCAAGAACCATACTTTAGCACTATTTCGACATACTTGTTCTTTATCTTTTAATCTTCTTTAAATGTCACCTATTATGCCAAATCCACGTTTTCATGTCTCTTCTACATCACCATGTGTCCCCTCTGTGAAAAGAGATTCTGAAAGTTTCAGGAACAAAGATTCTCTCTCTTTTTGTCCTGATCCATTTATATAAAAACCTGTCTGAAAATGAGCTGATCAGATGTTGGCCACTTTATGATGTCATAACGATGTTTTGGCTTATGTAACCATTAGCCAATCACCAACCAAGGTACCCCCCCCCACCTTATCACCTGAATCTCCTCCTCGAGCACCATTGAGTTCTTTGTAACCAAATATCTCTGAGGGGCGTGGGGAGTGGCTCCTTATTTTCATCTAAAGTAACAGACAGGGAATCAGCACTTTGGAAACAGGGCTGAAACAGAGGGGATTATGGGATGCTGCAATGATCTGTTTGGTATTACGAGCCAAACACTTCAGAGACATGTTTGTATATATCTGAGACCTATAATATATTGATGAAAAACAGTATAATAGGGGACCTTTAAAAGTGTACTTCACTGCATTTTGCAGGCAATTGATGTATTTTTAACACCACCAAATGTATTTAACACTCATAGTGGTATGCTTTTAGGAAATTATGCAATACTGTACTACTATTTCTACCAACTATCTCAAATTGGCTCAGTATTCGATATCCGATACATTAAGCTAATAATACTTCTGTATCTTTACTTTGCATTCAGGACTTTACTTGTTATAGAGTATTTGAAGACAAAAGGAGTACTTCATCCACCTCTATATTTACCTCCCAAAGCAATTTATGATTTTGTGTCATGCTCCTCCCTGGTGAAATATGGCTGATGTGACCATATTAATGTGATTTTCACTAAATGTTAGAAACTCCCCCTGTCTGCAGGTTGCAAACCATGTCCATCATGTTGGCTGTGGATGTGTTGGGCTGCACAGGGACGACTGAGGAGAGGGCGGGCCTGCTGCATAAAATCATCCAAATAGCAGCTGAGCTCAAGAGCACCATGGGCAACATGTTTGGCTTCACCGCCGTCATGAGAGCTTTAGAGCTACCGCAGGTAAACACACATCATATAACCTAGATAGTCATCTGGAAAACAATTCAAGCAATTAGCCATCAGAGGCTGTAAGTTACAGTGATTTACAACAGTTAAGGGCCGTTGTTAAGCATAAAGCGCAGTGGAGTACATATACTTAGCAATATTTCTTAAGGGTCCCTAGTATGCTCCTTTACAGGTTCATATTTGTATTTAGTGTCTCTACTGTGACATGTTTCCATGCTTTAATGTTCATTTTTTCTTTTTTTTTCTCATACTGCCTGTGCTGCAGCACTTCATTTCACCCTCTGTCTGAAACCAGAGCTTCAGAACCAGAACTGCCTACAGATGTCCCGCCCCTTAGCCTATCATGTACAATGTGTTGGAGCACTAGCCAATAGAACCGTTAGTGTTACATAGTGACATCACTATGTTACAGAAGTAAACAAAGGAGTCCAATGGAGACAGGGGGGGTGGGGGGGAGTGTGTAGGAGAGAAACTACCTATGGTGGGAACTTTGGAATTTTAGCCTTTGCAGACCATTAACATGCACAAAAACCTATATAACACACTACAGGAGAGGGAAAACCCCAAAAAGCATTATAGCTCACCATAGCTCACGGAACAGAAAACATATTCCCTGGTGGGCAAAAACGACAATACCATTTAAAAATGGTTGGTACACAGGCAAATAGTTTCAAGTTTCAAGGCTTTATTGTCATTTGCACATTAGCTACAGTGTAGATAATGAAGTACTTAGGTCACAGGCTCCTCCAACAGTGCAAAATATATATAGGACATAAAGATTTGAGATTAGCACGATAACCATGGAGTAATTTGGTGGTGTGGTAGAGTGTAAAAATAGCTGGTAGAAGAGTAGCAGACCATAGTTTCACAGATTTCTTCATAAAATCAAAGAATCCCTGTCCTCTTGAGAGTGCGGGTCAATCACCTTTTTAGTTGATATATTGTTGTTTTTTATTGATCTGTGGGGCATTATAGGTGAAGTTGATTGTTATCAGGACACAGAATTCCCTGCTATTCAAATATAAATCCCTGTATCTATGTGTTTCTTTCGCCCGCATTTGGGTTTTTTAGGGACAAAAACTATGCAGGGATACCAGTATCACTGTCGCAGCTTCTTTTTTAAACACGTTTGAAAGTAGCCTAGGCTAAAGGACAAGAACCATGTGTTTTATAACCTGAAGTATAACTTGTTACCCACTGGAGATAACAAATAAAAAGCATTGTACTTTGATAATACTGCAATATGACTTTTGATTGCCTATTAACCCTAACTGTGTCCTTCATGTCAAGTTAGCTATCTACGATCCCTTATCTTTATAGCAGCAGAGGAAGTAACTGTCCGTAATAGGATATGTCATTAGGTGTTTTTAATCAAGCTTGTATTGTGCACTGAGCTGTATGATGCCCCCAAAAACATTTTTTGAGATAACATAGCAATGTTGTGCAAAATTACATACACTTATCCCATGTCAGAATTAACACTTCTAACAAAAGAAAAAAAAGAAGATATATACTTTTTAATACTGAAAACCTTCTTATACTTTCTCACTAAAATCATACTTAGCATCACATGTAAAATCCCTGTTCAAAGGTTTTTTTCCTTGAGATTAACCATCAAACACATTTTATGTACCAAATACTACTATACTATTATAAAACACTATAGAAGTAAGATATTCTTTTTAATTTCGCTCAAATACCAGTGTGAGCTAAATTAGATATATTGAACTGTCCTTTTTCTTAACTTTTCTGTTGTCTTTCCTTCGCATCTTTTGTCCTGGTTTGACCTGTTTGTATAGAATATAGCATAAAATCACCCAAAGAAATACCTTTTAATCCAATTGAATTCTTTGCCACAAGTTGTACTTATCTTCTTGGCATTTATGGTCAATCGACCTCATTTTCACAGAGTTAAACCTTTTTAGAGTTTAAAAAGGCAAACATTTGAATTATTTTGACTACTACTACTACTACTACTACTACTTGAGAGGAAAGGAACATAGAGAATGTTTCTGGATTGTCACAGACAATCCAGAAAATGTCACTAGTATAGTACTATTATGCTCATTTGCAGGTTTAATATGTGTATATTGTGCCTCTCCTGTGACATGTCTCCATGCTTTAATGGTCAAAAAGCTCTTTATTTTTCTCATACTGCCTGTGCTGCAGCACCTCTTTTCACCCTCTGTCTGAAACCAGAGCCCAGTCTGCTCTGATTGGTTAGCTGGCCGGCTCTGTTGTGAGTGATCAACAGCTTTGATATGTCCCGCCCCTTAGCTTATCACGTACAATGTGTTGGAGCGCTAGCCAATAGAAGCACAAGTGTTAACTGGTTATGTCATTATGTTACCGAAGTAAACAAAGGACTACAATCCAACTGATCAGGCAGGAAGAGAGTGTGTGGGAGAGAAACTCCCTCTGGTGTGAACTTTGGGAAATGCAGACCAAACCTATAACGCACTACAGGAAAGATGAAACCCCCAAAAAGCACAATAGGGCCCCTTTAAGTTTGATACTTCTCAGTCCTCAGTTTGAATCTTTGGTTCCCCTGCATGTGGATGCACTGATACCAGGTTTTAATGGAGGCGTTTTTCTGTCTCTCAGGTGTGCCGTCTGGAGCAGACCTGGACGGCGTTACGGCAGCGACACACAGAGGGCGCTATTCTCTACGAGAAAACTCTAAGGCCCTTTATGAAGAGTCTGAATGACGGGAGAGGTAGGGGTCCCATTTAACAAAAAACACGTACTATTATTCAATCATTGAAATATGATTTATATACCCAAATGTCACAAATTACAAATTTGTCTGATCTGGCTTTACAGTGTGTACAGCATTACTAGGGGCTGGTTGAAGGTAAGCCTGAGCCAGCCCAAACTATATGCTTTATCAAAAAGGAAACCATTAAGGGCGTTGAAGGCTAAGAGAAGAATTTGAAATTGTATTCTGTATTTTATAAGGAGCATGTGCAGTGCAGCTAATACAGCAGTAATATGATCTTGTTTCCCAGTGTTTGTCAATACACATGCGCAGCAGTAGACTTTTTGATACAGCCGGAAAATCCAGCCTTGAAGTAAAAAATGCAAAGTCTAGTTTTTTTCAGCAAATGTTTTGTGTGGCCTGATTTTTGCAATGTTAACTCTGTATATGTCTGTCCTCCAGAAAGCTGTCCGCTGTCCAACACCAGCTTCCCCCACGTCCTACCCCTCCTTTCTCTGCTGGAGAAGAGCATGGCGGTGGGTGAGGGGACAGAGCCGTGGGAGGTGGCGGAAGCCGGGGTGGATGTGGTCATGTTCCACCTGGGGGCGGCGAGGACCATCGCTCAGCTCGGGGGAATCTACCGCTCCAACGCTGAGAGCAAACTACAAGGTAAGAGAGTAGAGAGAGATGCGCTGTTGATCAAAACTTGTCAGAATTCAAGACATTGCTGAGTAGCAGACATTTTGCAAATACTTTGAAGACTTTGAACTTTCTGACTTTGGTCGCTAATGGTGGTGATAACAAAAAATATATAGTTTCCTTATGCAACATAGTGACATCACTATGTTACATTTCTATTGGCTAGCACTTTTACACATTGTACATGACACGCGGTTGGCCAATCACAACAGAGCTAACCAATCAGAGCAGACTGGGCTCTGGTTTCAGACAGAGGGTGAAAAGAGGTGCTGCAGCACAGGCAGTATGAGAAAAATAAAGAGCTTGTTGAACATTAAAGCATGGAGACATGTCACAGGAGAGACACTACATACTGATATGACCTGAAAGTGAGCAGAATAAAGCCCCTTTAATACTTTTTATTTAACTGAATTATATCGCTTTTAACGTAATAATACAATTATGTCAACTCTGATGACAAAATAAATTGAATTGAATTCAACTTGTCTCTGTACTGTTTTTTTGTTTAGTTTTTTTATTAAACATTTACACAGCCAGAGGAGTGAGATGTCTGTTTCCAAGTTGTGTTTCTCCTGAATTTAGTATTAAAATAATGTATTTATTTTCTAAATAAGGTTAAAACTTATAAACTAAGAAAATCAGTTATTGAAATCAAATTGTGAACTCTGCAGTCGATCCACTGATGGTAACCCCTTCTTGATTGATTGCAGGTTTTCAGGGTCAGGCGGAGGTCCTGGAGCTCTTCCTGACCGATTTCCAGATGAGGCTGCTTTGGGGGAGCAGGGGAGCCGAGGAGAGCCAAGTTCTGCGATACGCCAAGTTTGACCAGGTGCTGACCGCCTTGTCCAACAGGCTTGAGCCACCTGTCAGACCACGCTGACCCCAGACCTGTTATTGAATAACTGTTTTATCCGGGATGAGTGCTTTGTGTCCTTACAAAATCACTTTATTCTCATTTACCATTCAGCTTATTTACCAGCCAGAGAACTTCATCTAGCCCGTATAGAACCAAAATGTGAAGGGAATATATCAGTGTAAATATGTGCAACTGTGTCGAGTTATTTTGCTTTTCTTCTGCAGAAGAAACAGGAAGTCATGGTAAATAGTTTCTGAAATGAGGCTGTGCCTTGGTCTGTTAGCTTAATGTATAGCAATGTTTTTATGTCTTCCTGAAGGCTGGACCTTCCTTAACAAAAAGACCATACAAAGTGTGTGTCATATTGTACAACGCAATAACAGAATAACATTTTATCTCCATTTTCAATATTATGTTCATCATCATGTGTTTATCATAAGGATATTCTAATGTGAAGTAAATACATAATGTGATGTAATTAGTGGTATTGTAACCAGTGCTAGGGTCAGTTCACAACTCTTTTGTTTAAACTTCCCTTTTCTTACTCATTACTCTTACTTCTTTTAATACCACTATATGAATTGGAAGTGATTGAACTGACTCTAACCACACACGCACAGTACACAGGTACAGATCATGTCCATAACCTTATTAATAATGTCTAATATTTATCTGAAATGTAAATAAACATGTTTACCTCACTGTTTGGCTAATACTGTCACATTGTCTGTCAGTTACAAGTGAGAATAAATGTGGGGTTTTTAATGTTCTTTGAGGTGATGAAATTGAGGTTGCAAATTGATCTGTATTGTTGCTAGATTTTGTGTGTATTTGGAATAAAGCACAAGGGGAATATATCACAACAACCTTTCCAAAATCAGGCCAAGTTTTTCAGATCAGTTTTTCCAGTCGGGCCAATTTAATGAATATATTAAATTCATTAAAGGTCCCATACCATGGCCATTTCTACTGATCATAATTCCATTGTTGAGGTCTACTAGAATAGATTTATATTGTTCAATGTTCCAAAAACACATTGGTTTCGACCAGTGGCGTAACCAGGTTGTGATTGGCCCCGGTGCAAATATTGTTTTGCCCCCCCCCCCCGGAAAACAAAGAATGGAACAGGCTAGCAAGTGTGCAGGTGTGCGTCATATGAGAGGCCCCGCCTTACATTTTCCACCACAGATTTATGGAAATTGGTCCGTGCGCAAAGCATTGTGGGGATTTTAAGACCGCGGAGTCTACACATGTGCAGCCTCGAAATTTCTCCAAACGAAGTACGCCGGGCTCGGTAGATTTCCAAGTATGCTGGACATTGGAACAGTACTTTGGCGGCACTCGATGACGTAGTATGCTTGAAATAGTGGCTCTGCAGCAGCTTTACTCGCGATTGAGAAACACCCCCTGTGTGCGGAGATCCGCGGAGCCGCGGCTGAGAAAAGATAAGGCTGAGTGAGTGTGTGTGTGTGCGGAGCTCAGCGGATTGGTCCATTTGGTCGGCGTTACGTCACTATGGCCAGGAAGAAAAAAATGGAAAAAGAAAATCTCCAACGAGGCGGTCTGGGGCAGCATAGACAGGTATTTTCTGTGTTAGAGTTTTACTCGCTACAGGGTGTACTTTGAGGGTTTGTGACTTTGCAGACCGTTTACATGCATAAAAAGCTAACACACAAGGGGACGGGTAATAACCGGAAAAGCATGACATGGGACCTTTAAACAACACTATGGCTCCATAAAAGATCATTTTTACATTAATAGCACCCTCTACTGTATAAATTACCTTTTTCGATAAGGTTTTATTTTTAGGGTGCATTATTTCTATAAAACATTACAGTTTATTATAAAAATAACTGTCTAATTTTCTGGTTTAATTATTTATTGCTTATCTGATATTACAACAACGCTTCAACATTTTACCATAATGTCCAACATCATCTCATACATAATATTTGTTATATCACTTGTGTAATAAAATACTGCTACACATAAAGTGATAAGTATAGTGATTATCTTTCCAGATGTTGTGTTTATCCGCTGTGCATTCTGGACTGTGACTGTGATCCTCCAACGTGGCCAACACACGATACGACCGGTTCCAGATGCTTTCTGGGAAATGAAGTCGTTACTGTCATTTCTGGTTCGTGTTTCTGGACGGCTTCCTCGAAATTAAGAAACTACAAAACTAACCGGTTGTCGTTATCAGAAGGTCCATTCCGGTTTCCTGTCTGCCAGCAGGCAGCCAAAATGTTGGCCATCCTATCTGTGCTGCTTTTATACCTTTTTAACCCCGTTTTTGGTGTTTGGTATCAGAATGTCTACTGCAGCATATCAGAAAGCTGTGAGTGCGACTTTAAGCCACATATCAGAGGTAAGACCAGATATGTATGTCGTAGCTTGCTCAGGTTAAGTAACGGGTGCTGCTTTCTGTCAGTCAGCTGGCTTAGTTTAACATGTAAAGTATCTATAGGGAGGTTGTTTCAACAGTAATTGTGTCATACATTATATGTTTTGTTCGTGTACTGAAACTGTAAAAGAACTGAGGTTGTCACGAAGAGCTACCTTATACTATAGTCATGTTAGCTGTTATGCTAGCTAGCATAACACAGGATGTGTTCTCTCATATTTAACATTGCAGATACTGTTTAAATAGATTGGAACAAATCATTGTTTTGCAAGTAGCTAAGTCTTATCTGTAGCTGAATAGTGTTATTATAGTGTTGAAAATGTGACACTTAAACAGTATTTGTTGAGAAAATCTAATTCAATTTGGCAATCTAGACATACAAAGTCCAATTCAAAGCAACAGATATCCTGAGCTTGAAAATGATCTTTTTGGATTTTGTTTAGAGGGTTATAAATGACCAAATTCATGGGACAGAAGCCGTAAGGATCGTCATTTTATTTAACATCATCAGCCATAAGGAATTCCCCCAAAAAGTCAATGTAGTAGTGTTTTCCTGTCTTTAAAGGTCTTTTAGCTCCGGGTAAAGACAAATAAGTGTTGAGATTAACTTAACCAATAATTTAACAATAACATGAAAAAAATCTTTATTCCCTTCATTTCAGATCTGGAGTGGGACCTTTACAAGAATGTTTATGGACAACATCTGGCTCAGGACATAGTGTCAGAGGAGGTGGCGAAGTTCCTTCAGAATAAAAGCCCCGAGCGGCCCCTGGTGCTGTCTTTCCATGGCTCCTCTGGGACGGGGAAGACCATGGTCAGCTCCATGCTGGGAAATCATCTGTACAGCTCTGCGATGAGCAGCCCGTACGTCCATCAGTTTGTTCCCACGCTGCACTTCCCCTTACCTGACCGAGTCAAGGAATACAGGGTATGGTCATTAGGCAGTGTTAATCTTGATCTCATCATCATGAGTATAATCAAAGATAAGAAACAATTAGGTGTGTCTTTATTAGTGGTGGGAATTGATTAAAGAATGCAATGGCGTTAATCACAATAATGATCTGTGATTAATCATGATTAATTGTTTGCAGGAGGAGTTGAAGAGTTGGGTGCAGGGGAACCTGACGGAGTGTGCTCGCTCCGTCTTCTTTTTTGACGAGATGGAGAAGATGCCTCCAGGTCTCATCGATGTTTTGGAGCCTTTCCTTGGTCCCTCCCACGTTGTGTTTCGCACGAACTACCGGAAGGCCATCTACGTCTTCATCGGGTACACACACACACACACACACACACACACACACACACACACACACACACGGGGGTGTAACAGTACACAGAAGTCACTGTTCAGTGCAAGTTTGTTATAGAAGGAAAAATGAATGCATGAGGATATATTTATTTTCATTTATTTTAAACAGACTACTGTTCAAGGTTAAATGTACGGCGGCCGACAGGTGCATGTGTTACTACAGCCAAAAAACACTTCCTTAGGAGAAATGCACTGCACTTAAAAAACAATGTAAATATAAAAACACAAATGTGCCAAAACACATGCAAATGAAAAAATACTATTGATCTGATTACATCTGATAATGATGGACTACAGAAATAAGAGTTCACAGTGACTGAACTGTCACCTCCATGAGAGAGACGAGCTGTTAAAATGTCCTATGACTTCCAACGGAAAATAGTTCCCTAATTATAAAACGTGAAAAATGTTTGTGACTCAGTGTGTTATGTGTGTGTTCCCCGCAGGACCAGCGGAGAGGAGGTGATTAACAGAGTGGCTTTAGAGAACCGGCAGGCGGGGCAGGAGAGGGAGGACATCCAGCTGGACCACCTGCAGGAAGCCATCGCACAGGCGGTCTACAACAGCACAACAAGTGAGTGTCCTTTGATATTTAACTGTAAAATATTCAGAGAGGTATACGGACTGAAGAGTTGCTATATGTAAATGTGTATCCTAATAAGAAGCCTTCTCAGTGGAATGCACAATAATGAGCTAAATGTTGGAAACACTGATACCCTTTTTCCAAGAGGCAGTTCTTACCATACTTTGAGTCACAACCCCTTTGTTATCATTGTAATGGCAACAAGTCCTTACTACCTACTTATACAAAAGCAATTTATGGTGAATAATTCATATTCCATAGGTTTCCCGGTTAATATCCTGTTACGTCACGCCAAAAATAATACAAGAATCATTTTGTTTGTATCCTCTAAATCTTGCTATCGATTAGTCAGACTGGCTTGGGTTTGCTATGCTAACATCATCCATGGAGGAAGAGCGAAACTTCACATGACACTATCCTTTATTTTAGCTTTTCTCGCTAAATCTCCCGTTCATTCTCTTTTACCGAACTGTACAAATATTAATTAAAGCGACAAAGGCACTGGTGGACCAGTCAGAGTGAGGGACTAGTTTCATGCGGCAGCTGGCGCGAGGACACGCTAAGCTATATGCGGGTTGAGGTTGTAGCCACGTCTCTCTGAAATCAGTATAAATGATTTCTTGCAATTCAATCTACCTTCTTAAGTTTAATAGTACCTTAAGTTGTAGTCTAAGTAGTCTGCCACTTTTGTTATTGTGAGAGATTTTCAGTGTGGGGGAGAGAGAATTCCCTCTGGAGGGAAGTTTGGGATTTTAGCCTTTGCAGACCATTTACATGCACAAAATACCTACAAATTACAGCATAGGGAAGGGGGCCTCTTTAAGTGTATCACAAGTTGAAAAAGCTGCTGACCAGACTAGCCCCAGCACAGAACTAGAACGGAATTAATTCCAGTGGAAAAGGGCTCTCCTGAACCACGCTAGGTGTCTGTCAGTTGAAGGAAACTAAAGTGAGCTTCTCTCTCCAGGCGGCTTCTTCCAGTCCAGCGTGATCCAGCAGAAGCTCATCACCAGCTTCGTCCCCTTCCTGCCGCTGAGCCGACGCCACGTGGAGCGCTGCGTCCGCTCGCAGCTCTGCCAGCGGGGCAGCTGCGGCCGCACGGACGTGGTGGAGGCAGTAGGGGGCGACATGCTCTACACCCCCGCCCAGGGACAGTACTTCTCCACCACCGGCTGTAAGGCAGTCCCCGCCAAAATCAACCTCTTTCTGTGAGCCAAGGTGCAATCTGATTGTTGATTTCTAAGGAGCGAAAGGCTTTGAGGTGAGTCAGTGAAGAAGAACAGAGTCTGTCCCTCACATGGAGGTCAGAGCAGCGTCTCCGGAGCAGCATCGAGGAGTCCTCCTGCACAGGGGAATTTAAATCACAGCTTCCTGTATTCAAAGCATGCTAAGGTTCCTAGAAAGCGTCGTTGGTACACGTCAAACTCTGAACATTATTCAGTGTCAAAACCAGGATTTCTGCCACGCTCTACCTCAAACAATTCCTTTAATTGATGAACTCTAAAGGTGGTCCAGGTTTCAGCTGCAGTTGGGTTAACATCAGTTATGTCTTAAAGACTATTTATTCAGTATTTATTTAACTTTTACCAATGCCCTCCTTTCACTTTTATACAGAGCACACATTTCACTCCCACTTCCCCTGCAGGATCCCCCCACAGCAGCTGGAGACTAAGTGCCTTCTGGGAGTTTTACTAAAATGGATCAAAAGGCTCAGAAAACGGTTGTTAAATTAAAAACTTCTGAATGTTTTAATGTGTTATGGAAAATATATTTTCATGAGCTGAGACAATTTACTACTTACTACTCTACTACTTTGATTACTACAACTCACTTTGCATGTGAGATGCAATTCCATGAGACAAATTCAAAACCAGAGTTTTAGGCAATATGTTCAGAAAATGTTTTAGCTATCATTGGTGCTGAACCAAATCTAATACATGTTATTAGAAATATACAATAACTATAAGGTTATCCACCAATATATTACCTTAAATAAGAACACATTATCATTGAAATAGCAGCTGCTTTTTAATAAATGTCATTCAGATTGGATTTCCTCCATCTGGAATTAAGAGTGTCATGTCTATTTTTAAAGACATCAACAAGGAGGAAGAAATCTAAAGACCTAAGAAGGGCTTTACTTGATATAGTGTTGTTGTGGATGTTGTAGTTTTTAGAGATCATCATGTCTGCCACCAGAGGGCAGTAAAGACTTCCTTTTGCCAAGAGTGTGAAGCAGAGTTCACAAAAGAATTCAATGATGTGTAGTTTAATGAATGTAAAATGTATTGTAAGGATGTTGCCTGTGTGTTTAATCACACTCAAAATGCACTTTACTTCTATGAAGGGTACAATGGATCCGACATGGAGCCTGGAAACTCTAACCAGACTCCATGCAAAAATCTGTCGTTTTTTTGTATCTATTTTTCCTCTGCCTCTGAAGCCCAGACGGTAAGAGTATACTATTAGTGGAATGTAGTTTATTTTATTTTTTTAACCCTGCCAATAAATGACATTCTCTCGTTTTAAGTCTCACAATGAGGAGCAGACATTGTTTACAGGGTTGTTACATGAGCACTGAGTAACCAGTTTCAGCCGCTGAAGTGCCTGGATGCTGGTAACTAAAGCTAAATGCAAATGTCTGGTACTATAGTGTAATGAAAGAATAAAATCTCCAAACGCACAACAAAACAATGTTCTGTTTTCTTTCTGACATTCAAAAAACATTTCCATTTAATACACAGCATGTTTGTCTAATGTCATTTTTAGGTAGTCCTACAGTACGGCTGCTGACAGGCCCAAAGCAACTCCATCAGGAGAAACGCGCTGCAGTTTCAAAAATGATGCAAATATAAAAACACGAATGTGCCAAAACACATGCAAAGGAAAAAACATCTTCACCAACTTGACAAAACATGCGCAGTGTTTAATGAAAGCACTGCATAAAGGAAATGCTACAAATAAAAAAGAGCTAATAAAAATGCTGATGGCTGATTGGTCGTGCTTTTTATAGTACTACGGCTTCCACAGATGACATTTTGTATGGATTTTTGTCAAAGCATTTAATATATTCATTGCTATCGGGATGTTAAGAGCATTCCATGGAATATAACAAAAAGTGTATCTCGAGCCGGTTTCTCAAACTTACCTACCCCACCTTTAAGTACTTCTTATCTCTCATAGCTCTCTCTTATATTCTCTTTAAGTTGTAACCAAATACGAAAAGTCATGCAGATGGAGAAGCTTCTGTTTTGATCAGCATGAGGTTTTTATAAAAGATGATTTGTGTATATAACCAACTTGTTCTTAAATGAAAGGCACTCTGGTACTGTAGTACGGTGGCCGACAGGTGCAAACGCATTGGCAGTTAGTCTGTTTCATAATTTCAAGTGTTTTGTCCGTTTATTAGAAATGACTCAGCAAACTACTTTAGCTAGCTAGCTCACAGCAGGAAGTGGCAGATTTGTTTTCCGGCTGTGTATTTTCAAATTCTAGCGCACTCGAGCTGGTTTCTCCAAAATGACCTACCCCACCTTTAATTGATCCCAATTTGGGAAATGTTTGCGTTGCAGCAGCATAAAAAGATAAGGCATTGTACATTAGAGAAATTAAAAGACTACAAATAAACAATCCAAAATGTAAACATCTCAAATAGAAATACAATTGCATTAAATAAGTAGGAAATATATATGTTGAAATACAAATATACAGTAACAAAATATAAAGCATAGATTAAGTGTGTAAGGAATCGAATATGAAATTGAATTGAAAAGGGACATTAGTGTATGTTGATGCATGTTGCTCTTCGCCACCTGTCTCTGATGGTGAGGAGTGGAGCTGCTGTTTGTCACAGCTGAACAGGAAGCAGAGGAGATGTGATCTCTCTATCTCCTTCAGCAGGAAATTAATACTTTCTCCATCGGAAATGAACAGGTGTCAGAGGTCTTTCAGGTGTGTGTGTGTGTGTGCGTGCGTGCGTGTGTGTGTTTTCCTATGAACTTCTAATGTCCCCCATAGGGCTGGTCAATTGTCACTGATGATTGATTTGATTGGAAAAAACAAATAAATGATGATCACTCAAATGTTTTTGAGATTAAAAATGCATCCTTAAGGTCGAATCCTGCAGGAAAAGGAACAGAGGAAGTAAGATGTCTGTTGTGAGGACGTGATTAAAAATATTTTTATGGAATTGTTTTGAGCCGTTGTCAAATCAAATCAAATCAAGTTTTATTTATAAAGCACATTTAAAAGCGATTTTTGGTCGAGCCAAAGTGCTGTACATGTAATAAAAACACATTACTACAATCACAATAAAAGACAATAAATTACAACAGATATATATATTTAAAAAAAAACACAAGGAAAAGTCAGGAGTCGTGCTCCGCTCTAACTAGAAGGCCAGAGAGAAGAAGTGTGTTTTTAGTTGTAATGTGTTTGCACCTGTCGGCCACCATATTTAAGTGTTTAGAACAATTTCATATAACTACAGAATCCTCTAAGGGTTATATGTTTTTTTGTTTTTACTTTTGTGTTTCCTCCCAATACTTTTTGCATTCCCCTTAAACTTAAGGACACTTGGCGCATTGTTCAAGTTTTATGACGCACTGCCAGAAGACTGCATAATCTACAGAAATGGAGATGGTATGATGCCTTGTATCATGCAGGTAACCTGGTGACCATATCATGGTAATATCTGCTACCCATCACTCCTCCTCAATTGGTGTCATCAAACTTTCTGCCACCTTTATGTTCCCCTATTAAAACACATTGGTTTGGTTCTTTTAAGTTCAAGTCTTTCCCTAAAATCCAAGAGGAATATACAAAAATAAATGGGATTCTTTTACTTTTATAGGGCTTTTATTGTGAAAGGAAAGAGCAGAAGGAGTGGATCTGTTATGCTCTGCCTTTATTGGTGTAAAAGTCAAGTTTGCCATCTTGGTTACTGAGCCACCGCTTTGGGATCATCATAAATATAAGGAACACCACAACATTATTGGTTATGGACTTTATTTGTTTTGCAAAAGCTCAGAAAAATGTACCTGTTACCAACAAAAAAACTTGTTTTCAGTCGTGATGCCTAGTATTCGCTTTCTGTGTGAAAATATTGAATGATTAAAAGAAAAACAAGGTGTTTCTCACTTTGAACACCTCTTTAGATTAGTACCTCACAACAGCCCTGACTTTAGCCGCGTTCACACCGGAGTACTTTTCACCGTACTTTTCGCGTTTAGTTCCGTTAGTACCCCTTATGTCGAGTTCACACCAAAAAGAGCACTTCATCTCGGGAACTTTTACCCCCATTTTTAGTGCCTGCTGAGAGATGGTACTTTCCTGGGGGGAAAAAGTGCCCCAGTTCTGATTTGGTGGGCGAATTGCAAACCACGCCTCGTACAACTCTGAAATGTTTTGTAGAGCCGCCATTTTATTATCCTCGCATTATTAGCATTAGCATTAGCATTAGCCCAGTGCACAAACGCAGAGAGACTAACTTATGGCAACACAAAAGAAAACATGGGAGCGGTGGAGATGAGGAGGTGTCGGCGTTCTGGTGATTTACTCGGAAGGCTTCAGTAGAAGCTGCTGGGAGTCCCAGCAGCTTCTACTGAAGCCAGTCCCCAACTCAGGGGACTTCCGGCCGGGGACTCCGGGTGGCAGTATACTCCGTGAAGTTGTTTGCGGCCTGCCAGTAAACCCAAAGCAGAAGAAGAAGAAGTGATGTCAGCGGCTCATTTGCGTAATCTTCCCTCAGGGAATTTATTCCGGTGTGAACGCGATCTGTACTAAATGCCCTGGGGTAATAAGTGCCGGCACTAAATACGGCAAAGTACTTGGTGTGAACGCGCCTTTTGTTTCTACGGAAACTCTTCCGACGTCTGAATGTTATCTGGTCACCTGCTGGAGGTGACCGTCCCGCCAACATTTCGGAAGCATCTCCTCGTCCTGCGACAGCACCCGTGGCCTCAAATATATGCCACATCTCTCCTTGATCCTGCAGTGATGACTTCATTAACCCCCCCCCACCAACCACCACGCAGGCTGTGTGAGGAATAGGGAGGGGTTCGAAGGTCAGCTCAGAGGCCTCTTCACCCCAGCTGCTGTATCGCCATCTCCATCCTTCTGGACAATGAGACACACACACATACATAATAATGTGGGAATGACCACCACACACATATACACACACCTCTCTGACCTCTGAGCCTATTTTCACACGCTCCCTGCAGAACAGCCGGACAAGCCTCTCCAGCGGTAGTTGCAGAAAGGGGGACAGTCGAGGGAGGATATCAGAAAGAGAAGCTGGTCAGCTGTCAGCTCTGTCTTCTATCCTTTTACTTTCTTCTTCTTCTTCTTCTTCTTCTTCTTCTTCTTCTTCTTCTTCTTCTTCTACTTCCACTTTCCCCTTCCTTAATCTGCCCTTTTCTCTGCTTTTGCCCTCTATGCTACGTCATGACAAATCGGGTGTAAAAAGCCCCTCTCACCTCCCACTTTACCTCCTCACCCCTTCCCAACCCTCCCCTTCTCCCTCCCCTCCATCAGGGTTGGGGGGGGGGGGTGGAACAATGGGACACTGCTCCTTCCTCCCCCCTTCCCCACCCACCTCCACATCTGTGAGTGCCCCTCTGTCTCCTCATTCTTCTCCCTAACCGCTCCATTATTGGGCCTCTTTCACTTGTAAATGTGGCCAGCGATACTTCTGATGGGTCTTTTATGCACACGGCCGGGGTCAGGAGAAAGGTAGGGGCAGCAG